GCTGGTGCCGCTGGGGTTATGGGTTATGGACGAAGGACTCGTTGTCGTCCGACCCCTGCGCCGTCTACTGACTGCATGCTGTCCTCAGAGCCAGGCGGGTCCCGAGTTCTGCAAGCCGCTCGGCTGTGCTGCGCCCCTGGGTGATGCGTCTCCTTGTCCCTCTCGTCTTCTTCGTCGTGTCCTTCGTGCTACCATTCTACTTGCTGTGAGGGCCTCTTTTCAATGGTGCGGGTTTTGTGACACTTGTTTTACATGCCTGGCCTTTCCCGGTTCGCCTGGTTCGACATCTGGGCGGGCATCGCGGGCCGTGCATTCTTCCCTCCGGCTCTGATGACGGTGGTGATGATGATGACGATGATGCTGATTATGATGATGGTGATGATGATGATGCTGACTGATGGTGGCGATGATGGTGATAGTGTCGGTGATGGTGATGGTGGTGATGGTGTTGATGTTGATCATGATGAGGGTAATGGTGATGATGGTGCCGATGTTGGTGATTATGATGATGGTGGTGGTGATCGTCATGGTGATGGCGATGATGATGATGATGCTGATGATGATGATGATGATGTTGATGATGATGATGATGATGATGATGGTGATGGTGATGGTGATGGTGATGGTGATGGTGATGGTGATGGTGATGGTGATGCTGATGGTGATAATGATACTGCTGCTGCTGATGATGATGATGCTGATGATGATGTTGATGATGATGATGATGATGATGATGATGATGATGATGATGATGATGATGATGATGATGATGATGATGATACTGGTGAGGATGATGGTCGTTCTCTCAATTCTAATTCATAAGTGCAATGAGAGCCGCCAGACATAAGTTTGCACTGCAGGGGCCAACAGTTGCATCTGCCCCATCGCCTTTTTCTATCGATATGCGGCCAGAGGGAGCGAGCCTCGCTTATATTGGCCTCCTCCTGGCCTGGATCGCTCTGGGCCCCACCGCTCACCAGCACATCGCGCGCGGCCCGCGTCCGCCCTCCGACCCTCCGCTGGCCGCGGAGGACGCCCTGGAGCCGGACGCGCCCTCGCCCAAGGGCTGCGCCTGGAGGGGCCCGCCAGCTCCGCCGTGCGCGGAGCCGACTCTGGAGCTGCGCGCGCCCTCCGTGGAGGAGAGCGTCGCCCTGCTCCAGCAGTGCTCGGCCGGCGCGGCGCCCTCCGAGCAGACGTCGCTCCAGCAGGTGCTGGTCTCTCTCGCGGGCTCGCTGCTCGTGGAGGGGGTCCGGGGGGCTTGGCTCGCTCGCTGTGGCCGTCGCCAAGCGCCGTCTCCCAACTCGCCCACGCTCAGAGCCGAGGGCAGCCGAGCGGCTCCCGCTGACAGGCGCTCGCTGCCGCAGCAGTCGCAGCCGCTCGGGGGAGGCCTCTATCGATGATTGAGGGAGATGAGCTCTTTGTCGAGGATGCTGTGCAGCCGCCGTTGCTCAACGTTCGTGCCGTCGTTGCTGCTTGTGCTGCTCGCCCAACAGACTGTGTGGTGGTCAGCCCGCCGCCGTGCGGACGATACCCGCCGAGCACGACGCGCCGCTCGCTGGCGCGGGCGTCGCGCAGGCTGCGGTCCCCGCCGGGGCCGGCGCGGGAGCGGGCGCCCCTGTGCAGGCGCAGGGCAGGCGCGCCAGCGGCCGCCCCTCCTGTCGGGGCCGCGGGCCCCCGCGGCTGCCCTGGCCGGGCCAGGCATTCCGCTCGGCCCTGCGCTTGCCGCCGCACCTGCCCTCGCTGGGGGAGCCGCCGCGGCTGGAGTCGCTCCCATCGCGGGGGCCCCGGCCCCAGCGGCCGCTCCAGCTGCTGCCGTCGCTGCTGGACACGGGGTCTTCACGCTGCGCTCGCTGCTGGACTTGGCCCCGTACTGGCGACGGCTGGCGGCGGTTTCCGCACCCTGGTTGTGTCATGCGATGTTGAAGGGCGTTGCCACAAGAAGTTCCGTGACGCGGTCGAGGCGATGCGGTAGCAGGCTTGGCCCGACTGGATCGTACCAGATGTTGAAGGGCGTTGTCACAAGAAGTTCCGTGACGCGGTCGAGGCGATGCGGCAGCAGGCTTGGCCCGACTGGATCGTACCAGGCCCTTGCGCGGCTGCCTGGTGTGCGAGTTTCATGGTGGAGAACGGCGGCTCGGCGGACGGACATCACATCGCTTTCCGCTCAGCGTGCCGCCTGGGACTGGATGATCCAATCATGCTGCTCCACTCCGAGATGTCCAAGATCTTCCAGACAGCGGCCTGCTATGACCAGACCGATGCCAGCAACCTCGTCTGTCGACAGCTCCAGCTGTGCCAGGAGAAGCTCAAATACCGCATCCCGGGCACGCCAGGCGCGATACACCGGGAGCGCGATGAGCTGATTCCTCACGGGGCTGCAGAATACGCGGGGGATCATGGTGCGCCAGGGTCGCTGAGGAGGTGGTGGCCGAGGGCGCCGTGCTCAAGGAGCGCTGCAAGGCGAGGGGGGAGTGGGCGCTCGCCAAGCCGCCGCCGCCGCGGCGACAACGCTGGAGGGCAGGGTTGACCCCGCCAGCTCGACAGATCAAGGCTGCTGCCTGCGCCCTCGCCGTGTGCAGGAGCCCGCGCCACGGGCTCTTCGCTCCTGGTCCATGGTGGCCAGTCGCCAGCGAGATCTTCCCGCTCTCCCCGCTCGACGTGCCCGCTCGGCGTCCAGGCGGCCCCCTGGCAGTTCAGCGACGTCGGCGGCGACCCCAGCGCAGCGCTGAGCCTGCGAACGACGCGATCACATCGCTCGACGCGCTTGCTGGCCGCTCGTTCGACGGGCCCGCCCAGTTGGACGCGGCCGCCCAGGCGCTCGCGGATAATCGCAGCGTGGACAACGGCGCGGCGCTGGGCCCCGCGCCTCGAGACGTCGGCACCCGCGGGGGCCTTCGCGCGAGCTCTGCGGGAACGCCACCGCGCGTGGCGGCTCTTCCCCAGTCGCACCCTGCAACAAGGATCCGGTTTCCTGGCCCGAGACGGGCGCCGCTCCCGTGTCGCCGTCGGCCGCGCCCGCCCCGTGGCTGGGGGGATTCATGGGCCAACTCGCGTTGCTGCGCTGATGGCGCCGACCGCCTTGGGAGGGAGTTGGGAGTGGCGCGCCCTGCTCCGATCCTGCCTTCCGTGTCAGGCCAGCCACAACTGGGGGGGCCGTGGTCCCCACCCCCTGTGGGGCCCCTCGATTTCGACGCCCCCTCTCGAGAAATCGTCGAGGCGATGGGTTCCCCCAGAGGGGGTCAGGGCCGCAGCTCCCCCAGTTATGGCTGGTCGGCGTGTCTCCTCCCACTACTCTAGCTTCGTCGAGGAGCCGTGCCCCCGCGGCATGGCGCGCTTCGCCCCCGCCGCGAGCCGGCCGCCGCCCCCGGGCGTCGCCCCGGTAGCAGAGAAGAGCGGTGCCCAGCGGATCATCTTCGACACGCGGCGGGCCAACCCGGACTTCCTTTCTCCACCTCGCACTTGGGAGACTTGAGGCGGGAGTCCATGCAAACGGGGGTCAGCCAGGGCCCCAGATCCCGCAGGATCCTGCGAAGACCCCCTCTGGCTGACCCAGGTTAGCGAGCCGCTCGTGGCCGCGAGGCGGCCGAGCATATTGGCTGACCCGGGTTTGCGAAGATCTGCGTTGCGTTTTTTTGTTTTCCTGCATTGCAGTTTTTGGTTTCCTGCTGACCCAGGTCTGGATTGACCCGGGTCAGAAGATCCCCGACGCACTCGGTTGCCCACCGCGGCGGCTTTTAGCCAGCTCGCGACGGCGGACTGCGAAACCTGCTACTTCTACGCCGGCGACATCTGCTACGGCATCAGGCCGGCTCCCGTCCGAGCCGAGTCGACGGGCTGCCCGCTCGTCGGCGGCCGCCCCGCGCGTAGGCGACCGGCTCGCCCGGCGCCCCGCTGCCCCCCCGATGGGGCGGAGCTGCGCGCTTCACCTCTGCCACCTCGTGGTCGAAGGGGGCGCGCGGCGAGGTGGCCTGCCTGGCGATCGGCTCGTCGGCGATTCAGCAGCGGACCCCCCCGCGGCGCCGCCGGTCCCCCAGGGCGCTGCACGCGTCGACGATTTCCTGGTGGTGGGAGGGCCGCGAAAGGCCGTGGCCTCTGCGGGTCAGCAGGTGTCGGACACCTTCGCTGACGCCGGCTTCGTCGTGCACGAGGAGACCGGCGTCTCGACGCAGGTGCAGTTCGTCGGGCCCGAGCTGGGCGGCGCCCGCCGCACCGCGCGCGCGTCTCGCAGGCGGATCTGGCGCCTCGGGCCCGCCCTGACCGAGCTCTTGGCCAAGGGGTGGTGCAGCGGCGACGTCGTGGAGATCCACGTGGGGCGCCAGACCTGGGTCATGCTGATCCAGCGCTGCTCGCTGTCCGCGCTGTCCTCGGTCTACGCCTTCTTCCAGAGCAGCAATTGGGCGCCTCGCGGAGCTGTGGCCGTCTGTCCGGCGCGACCTGACCACGGTCATGGGCTTGCTCCCACTGCTTGTCGCGAACGCGTGCGCCCGCTGGCATGGCGTCGCAGCGGCTGGCAGTGCCCCGCGCTGCGGGTGTGGGGTCCGCCGACGGTGCTGCAAGCCCTCGGAGGCTGCTGCCGTCGGCCGCGTCGCCGAGCGCCGGCGGCGCCGCGTCGCGGGCGCTGTCGGCGCGCGGGGCCGCGCTTTCCTCGTCGAGGGCGCCCTGGGCGCCGCCGGCGACGCGCCCGGCTCCGTCGCCCAGGACGGCGCGATGGGGTTCGCAGCTGGGCTGCTGCAAGAGCGCGCGCGGCCGCGGGCTCTTTCGACCCGGTGGGCGCCATCTTCGTGCACCCGGGCCGCTGGCAGGTGGCCCGGAGCTTCCGATGGGCCGATGGGGGGCCGATGCCAACGCCCCCCGCCTCGAGGCGCTGGCCCTGTCCTCGGGCCTTCGCCGCTTGCCTCGGAGCCGCGCTGCTCGAGGCCGCGGGTTGCTCGTCTTCGTCGACGACCTCGGGCTGGCCCCCCCCGCGGGAAGGGGGCGGCCCGGGGCCTTCCAGATCCGAGATGTGCTTCGAGAAATCTGCGCCCCGCCCTTGGCCCGCGGAGTTCGACTCTCAGTTCGGCGGGCCCCGTCGGGACATAATCTGTTGGACTGCCCCTCGCGAGGCCGCCTGTATATCGAGAGCGCCAACGCGCCAGACGTCGTGGACGCCGCGGGCCACGCCGCGGCTGCAAGCGATGACCCACGCGCTCCGCCAGCCCCGCCGCCGTTCCAAGCCTTCGGCGAAAGCGGGGCCCTACACGGCCCAGACGCTGCTGTCAGGGGCGCGCCGCGTGGCAGGCGGCGCAGACGAGTGTTCCGAGTGCGGCGCAGCTTGCCGCGCGCCAGCGCAGTCTTCCGCTGCCGCCGCCCCCCGTTCGCCCTCCCGACCCTGAGCGAGCTGTCCTACCTGGAGGGGCGGCCGGTGGCGCCGGCAACGTGGGTCCGCCTGGGCTGGGACAGCCGCGTGCAGCTGGGCGCGCGCCTGGTGATGTCCCTTTGCGAGCACGCGGTGGCCGCCGTGTTCTCCTTCGTGGCGCGCCTTCGGCCCGGCGATTGCGACTCCTTCTCGTCGCTCCAGCTGGTCGCCCCCGTCGAGGCGGCCGGAGGGGCTGCGGGCGCGCGGGGGCTACAGCGCGCGCCAGCGGAAAAGGGGGCCCCCGCCATGACCAACATGTTGGACGACGTTGTGCCCTTCGACTCGGCGACGCACCTCTACCGTCGCCTCCGGGTCTTGAAAACCCGAGCCCGTGCCCCAACTGACCGCGTCTGGATGTTCTTAAAGGGCGACCTGTCTGCGCGGCCGGCAGGGGCGACGGCGGAGCTCCAACCGGTGAATCTGGCGATCGCGGCGCATGGGCTTTGCCGCGGAGGAGCGCCTCGCGACCTCCTCCACGTCCGCGGGGCGCCGCCGAAAGGAAAGCTCCGCAGCCGCTGGGCATCGGACTCCATGCTGAAGCTGTATGCCAAGCAGACGTGGGTGGTCCCAGAGCTTGCCCGCGTCCCTCCCCGCGTGGTGCAATGCGGCAGCCTCGTCTCAGAGCAGGTCGGCGCTGCGTTCGCCGTCGCGGCCGCCGCCCTTGCGCCTCCGTCCCTGGAGCGAGCCCCGCAGGCTCGGTTGCGACGTCGCTGAGTGCCCACCAAATCAGTGCCCGTCTCTGCTCACTCCTCCGTGCTGCCATGGCCGCCTCCCCCTGCAATCGCAAGCAGGTCTTCCTCGAACTTTTTTCGGGGACCGAGGGGCTCAGCCGAGGAGTGAAACATCTCGGGTGCGGAGTGATCGCCGCTGGTTTCGTTTCTCGTCCCTGGCTCGATCTGGATCGGCCGGTCATCGGCTCGTCGGCCAGGTCTCTTCGTGCGTTGTCTTGGCCGTGTGGCTCGGGGCACCGTGCAACAGCTGGTCCCACGCACGGCGCGGCCCCCTTGGCAGCAGCTGGTGTCGGCTCCGATCGCCCGATGCTATCTGGGCTCTGCCCGACTTGGATGGACGATCGCGCCCTGGCCACTGTCGCCCGTGGGAACAGCCAGCTGCTTTCCCCTTTAGAAGTCACTCGAGCTTGCGAACGCCAGGGGGTCCTCGCCTTTCTTGAGAATCCTGCCTTCTCTTTTCTTTGGTCTACCCCCCGCTCGTCAGACTCGCCACCCCCCCTTTCCTCGCATTGCCTCGTGATTGATGTTTGTGGTTTCGGGACCCGCTGGGGGAAACGCACCCGAGTCCAAGCTTGGGCCCACGGGTTCAAGATCAAGCTGCCCAAGCTGTGTAATGTTCGTAACGGTATCCGCTTTCATTCGCATAAGCAGCACACCGTGCTTACGGGCAAAGACCCCGCCTCAGGCAAGCCCTGGACACAAGTATCGCAGAGCTATGCACGTCGGATGGCCTCGATTCTGGCCGCCGCCATTATGAACTGCGTTCAAAGTCTGCATTTGGCCCGCCTTCAGTAGTTGATATTTTGTTTGACAGTTTCGACGGCCATTTTGGCCGGAAGCCTTCCTGGGACTTGGGGTCCTTTCTCCTCCCTCCGCACCTGGTCGGTGGTGGTGACCTCCTTCCTGTTTCCTTCCATCCTCCGCTGCTGGCCGATCCTCGGCACGAGTGGCCCGTCGTCATGTGCACTCGCTTGGCTTGCGGACGAACAATCGTTCTCTGGCTTGGGTGGAGCGCTGGATGGTGATGATGATGAGGATGATGATGGTGGTGATGATGATGACGATGATGATGATGATGAGGATGATGATGATGCTGCTGATGATGATGATGAGGATGATGATGATGAGGCTGATGATGGTGATGATGATGTTGAAAGGGGTGGTAGTGATGGTGATGGTGATGATGGTGATGATGGTCGTCGTGATGCTAATGTCAATAACGATGGTGATGATGCTGATGATGATGCTGATGATGATGATGATGAGGATGGTGGTGATGATGATGACGTCCTCCCTTCTCCCTCGTCCTCGTTCGTGCCGCTGCAGCCGCTGCCTCGCTCAACGCCCAGCGCTCGCCAGATCCAGTGCATGTGCCACCCTTTCTCTCTCGCCCGTTGGCCTCGGCCTGCTTCTCTGCCCGGGAGGGCTCGGCCTTTTGCTCGAGCGCAGTCGTGAAGTCTACGCCTGCGATTTGCACGGGCGTGCCCCGCCAGTGCTTCGCCGAATGTTGGTGCAATGTCGCAGGAGAGGAACACGTGCGTGTGCTTGTCTGTCTGCATGTGTTTCTCGCGTCTTCGCTGGTTGGCGCTGTATGGTCGTACATGCCACCGTGTTCTGCATTTGGCGTACACCGTTCCTCTATCGACAATGTTTGCTGGTAACTCTCATTAGCGGCCTCGCTAAGTACCGCTGTGTTGGACCAGCCGGCCGTGAAGCACAAAGTCTGTCTGCCCGTCTGTCTTTGCAACTGGGTGTTTGCTCCGGTGCCGCGCACGGGCCTGCAGAGGAGGTCGCGTGCCCGTCCCATTGGGTGTTGAGGAGTGTGCTTCGGCCCCCTCGTCGAGATCGGAAAGGGTGTGGTTGTGTGTGAGCGTGTGTGTGTGTGTGTGTGTGTGCGTGAGTGTGTGTGTGTGTGTGCGTGAGTGTGTGTGTGTGTGTGTGTGTGTGTGCGTGAGTGTGTGTGTGTGTGTGTGTGTGTTTGCGTTCGCGCGTCATACTGAAAGAGCTCACGCAGGGGCAGGCGGGCACGAGGGGTACGGGACTGGCCCTGCTAGGGGCATCGCTACTTGCGGTGATGTCTTTTTGTGGGTTTCGACTCCCAGGACTGTTACGCCAGGTCCTTCCAGCTTACCGCTGTCACGCCTCCTAGGTCCGCAGTGACCTCCCAATTGCTTTAAAGAAGTTCAAGCCTTGCTCCCCTGGTCGCAGGAGGCCAAGGTCGAGGACACGCATCAGTTCAGAGACCGAAAACGGCGGAGTTCAGGCAGACAACGCTGGCTACGACGAAGTAACTTGGGACCGACGCTTCGCGTAACCCCTCAGCCCGGTGCGGTCCCGCCAGATCAGTGGACCGGTGCATCTAGCTCAGCCTCGTCGTGGCGTGAATGGCAGTCATGGGGCACGTGGGGGCACCAAGGTGCGTCATGGACCGAGACAGACTGGAAGGCGAAGGGCAAGCGCTGTTCTCCCAGAGGAGATGACCCGTACGCGGACAAGCGTCCACGAGGTTGGGACTCCTGATCCAGATGACGGGGACGCAACGAGGGGCCCGTTCGAGACTGGCTCATCCCCCCCAGCTAGCGCGGGAGCACCCACCGCCGTGGTTGGCACCCTCTACTCAGGATTGCCCGCAACCTCTGCACTGGGCAGCTCCCGAAGGGCTCCAACTGTGACGACGCCTCCCTCGAAGGCAGTCAGCGAACCGGTGATCGCCACGGCCCACCACTTATCGTGCAGCCTGCTGTGTGCAGCACACACCACCTCCCACCCCCCCTCGGCTCTTCTCCGCCCGGCATTCGCCGCACCCCTCCCCCCAGACAGTTTCACCTGCAGCGCCCGGCCTTGGCCGCAATACCCTGTGCTACCTCCGCTGGGGCGGAGGGGCACCAATACCCTTGCGCTGCGCAGATAGGCAGCCCACGCTGGATTCGTGGACCTTGCCAGGTCTCTCCTCCCCTGCGGCCGACTGGGGCGTCTTCGTCTGCCGCACGGGACCACGGCCACTGCCTCCCTCGGTGGAGGCCACTGCTAGCGCGGGCTCTGGGGTCGTCTGTGTCACCCCCCCAGGACAGCCCCCTTTGGACGGCAGTGACGGGTGGCTGAAATAACCCACCTCCTGCGCTCCACCTCTTTCGCAGCACAGTGAACGGCAGTGGTTGGTGACCGACATTACCCGCCGCACCACCCTCGCTCAGCCCCACCCCCCCGTGGTCATGAAGTTCTGTGCATGGATGCCCTGTGTATCTTTATCTGTGTCCAGCGGTTTTCGGCTGCGCCCCCTCCTTCTCTCCCTCTCATTCGCAACGTTTCTGCGGCTTTTGGCTGCGCCCCCCCCGATCAACAGCGTAGATTGCATCGGGCGCAGAAGAGCGTCCGCCCTGAGACCTGCCCAGGGAGTATCGGTCCTTCGTCGCCGACCCAGCCATGGTTCTACTACAAGGACGCCTTGGCACGTCAGCACGCCGCCAGCGAACGGTACAGCCCAGCAGCTCGGCAGCAGCCAGCCACCTGTATGCCCTGGCGTCGGAGGCATCCGGCTTCTGCATGGGCAGCGTGGCAGGTGTTGAGTGGGTGTGGCTGTCCACCATACACATGGTGATTGGCTTCGTCAAGTGAGCGGCCCCGCATCGAGTGGTTCAGCCTTTCGCGGTCTAAGTTCGTTTCGCTCTTCTCGGCGCAGCCACAGCCCCAGTCCTCGCCAGGACATTGCATCGTTGTGCCCCCGAACCGCGTGAGTCGGATACGATGTAAGTGCACTGGCTACCTGCTGGTGGTTGCCAGCCTCGTGCACGCACACCAGTGGTCTTCACAGCACAGTGAACGGCAGCGGTTGGTGACCGACATTACCAACCGCACCACCCTCGCTCAGCCCCACCCCCCCGTGGTCATGAAGTTCTGTGCATGGATGCCCTGTGTATCTTTATCTGTGTCCAGCGGTTTTTGGCTGCGCCCCCTCCTTCACTTCCTCTCATTCACAACGTCTCTGCGGCTTTTGGCTGCGCCCCCCCCGATCAACAGCGTAGATTGCATCGGGCGCAGAAGAGCGTCCGCCCTGAGACCTGCCCAGGGAGTATCGGTCCTTCGTCGCCGACCCAGCCATGGTTCTACTACAAGGACGCCTTGGCACGTCAGCGCGCCGCCAGCGAACGGTACAGCCCAGCAGCTCGGCAGCAGCCAGCCACCTGTATGCCCTGGCGGTCGGAGGCATCCGGCTTCTGCATGGGCAGCGTGGCAGGTGTTGAGTGGGTGTGGCTGTCCACCATACACATGGTGATTGGCTTCGTCAAGTGAGCGGCCCCGCATCGAGTGGTTCAGCCTTTCGCGGTCTAAGTTCGTTGCGCTCTTTTCGGCGCAGCCACAGCCCCAGCCCTCGCCAGGACATTGCATCGTTGTGCCCCCGAACTGCGTGAGTCGGATACGATGTAAGTGCACCGGCTACCTGCTGGTGGTTTGCCAGCCTCGTGCACGCACACCAGTGGTCTTCACAGCACAGAGAACGGCAGTGGCTGGTGACCGACATTACCCACCGCACCACCCTCGCTCAGCCCCACCCCCCCATGGTCATGAAGTTCTGTGCATGGATGCCCTGTGTATCTTTATCTGTGTCCAGCGGTTTTTGGCTGCGCCCCCTCCTTCACTTCCTCTCATTCACAACGTCTCTGCGGCTTTTGGCTGCGCCCCCTCCCGATCAACAGCGTAGATTGCTTCGGCCGCAGAAGAGCGTCCGCCCTGAGACCTGCCCAGGGAATATTGGTCCCTCGTCGCCGACCCAGCCATGGTTCTACTACACGGACGCCTTGGCACGTCAGCACGCCGCCAGCGAACGGTACAGCCCAGCAGCTCGGCAGCTGCCAGCCACCTGTATGCCCTGGCGTCGGAGGCATCCGGCTTCTGCATGGGCAGCGTGGCAGGTGTTAAGTGGGGGTGGCATTCCACCATGCACATGGTGATTGGCTTCGTCAAGTGAGCGGCCCCGCATCGAGTGGTTCAGCTTTCCGCGGTCCAAGTTCGTTTTGCGCTTTTCGGCGCAGCCCCAGCCCCAGCCCTCGCCAGGACATTGCATCGTTGTGCCCCCGAATTGCGTGAGCCGGATACGATGTAAGTGCACCG